TTAATTTTTTTTCCGTTTTAAACGGTTATTGATTTAGAATTTGGTCCAATATAGGACTGTTTTCATAAATAAAATTAATTTTAAATAATAAAATCTGAATACATATTATTTTCTAAAAATATTGTCATTCTGATATTTTAAATAAATATTTTAAAGTATTATTGTTTTGACTAATTATATTAGGTATTATGACTTAATTGCTAATTTTCCCTTTTAGGATGTTTACTTGAGACAGCTATCCACAACTATTTTAGTAGTAATGTGGATAAAATGTTTACTTGAGACAACTATCCACAACTATTTTAGTAGTAATGTGGACAGAATAGAAGGGAGTAAATGCTAATTTGAAATGTTATGTTACAAGTTTGGATTACCGTTCTTTTTTTCAAATATATTGTTGTTCATATTATTATGTAAAATAATTAAACTATTTAAAGTTTGATATGAATATTTTTTTAAAAATTCATATTTATCCTTTCCTTTAATGAATTTTGATATTTTCTTTAAAGTAAATAACACTATTTATATTTTACGAAGTTATATTTATAATTTCACAAAGAACAATACTGAAAAATATGATTTAAATTATGTCTTTAAATATTTATCTTAATAGGTGTGCATTATCTAACAAATTCAGTTAATATGAAATAGAGAAAGTATATGAATAAAAATAAAAAAGGAAATTAATAAGATGAAAAAATTAGGAAAATATTGTGGGGTGGGTTTGCTGTTTCCCATGATAGGCACCGGGGTTAAATAGAAATAGAAATAGTTAGAAGTGTCAAGGGTTGCGGCTAAGTGTGCTTCAGTCTAGGAAGCCTTATTGTATTTTAATACTTTATACTATATATTTATTATAAGTAAATATACGTGGAGGTGTTTTAACTTTGGGACCACTTCATTGGGCTTCTGTATAAGCCACGCGCACTACAAATATTCCAGCCGCCAAGTCAAATTTTTTTGTATAAAATAAAGTAAAGTTTTTGTAGTTTTAATACGCGTCCACATTTCTCCTAAAATACATATTCCATCACGTTTTCATTTATCCACCTCCCTTCCCACGTGTGACTCAGTTTTTCTATTCAACTTTTTCACCTCTTCCGCTCACTAATCTCTCTTAGACACACGCACACAAAAAAACTTGTGTTCATAATATATAACACAATACAATAAATTATAGTTAAAAGGAATAAGAATGAATAAATTATCATTCAGATTGAGGTACGGCTATTTCGCTTTTTTTAAGGAGAATCTAACTTAATACAGCACAATTTACACCGATCCAACAGTAACACTCTTGTCTTGTCTCCTTCAGGATACAATAGTCCAACAACGTCGTACAACTCAAGCAACTCTAGATTAGCTGAAGAGTCTAAAACTCTACATATATATATAAGAACATCTTCCTTCAAGTCTTCAACAAATAATTACTCTCTTATGTATAGTGAATGTTGAAGACTTAAAATATTATTCTTTGTCGCAACTCTCTTTCACTATACTAACTCAATAGATACAAAATACAACACTTTTATGTAATATTGTTATTCCGAAAATTGACTGTAGCAGACCCCTTCGAACCTCGCTGATAAAATTGACTCTTGAGCTATAATATTGTTATTCCGATTTTTTGCTTAGCTTTAGACAGTATAATTTTAAACTTTTAACACAAGCTTAGCTGCTTTTTGTTTTTAGAATAACATGGTTAAAAAAATCTCATCCTTAATTTACGACACAAGTGAATTATAAAAATATACGTAAAAAAATTCAAAAAATACATATAAATTACTATTTTCATCACTGATGATATGCATGTAGCGAAAATCATTGATATATTGTTTGTATTTCATCGGATCGTACAATGAAGAGGTTCTACTTGTCTCTTAAACGAATTTTTTGGAGAAAAAATCATTTTCTGCTTGATGCCGCTTACTATTCAACTTCAGACTTAGAAATTAAAGCTTAACTTTGGTCATAATATAAAATTAGTTGAAAGAAAATATTAAATTTGCATACATAAAAGATATATTATCGACGAATAATATATACACACACTTAGTTTTGAATATTTTAAGGGCCGGAATATATATTTATTCTTTTTTTCTCTTATTAATCAACTAATTAATTAGGTCAATTGAGGTTTCCCGTTATTAAAATTAAGGACATATTTGAATCACTATTGAGTACTAGGTGCATGTGTGAACTAAAGTAATAAAGAAAGACATATTTGTCCAATTTTAAATGCTTTAAGAACATAGTTCGCTTCTTTTTTTTTCATAAAATAAATTGACTTATCTAGATTCTAAATAAAAAAGACACTACTACACATTTATAATAAAATTAAAATATTTGAGAATTGTGTACTCAAAGAAGGACCAATAAGTACTTCACCGATAATAATAGTATCATTCTAGTGGCACAGATGAATTTACTTATAATCTCTCAATAATAAAAGATAATTTGGGCTATAAGGATTTTAATCTAGAATACTTCTCATACTATTTAAGGGCCTCATTGGATAAATGAGATAAATTTACTCATAATGAGATGAAATACATCCCTAAATTCTCGTTTCAATACTTGTTCGGTTCTTTAGTAAAAGCTCTATGCTTTTACAAGAGTTTCAGACCACACTTGCTACGTCATGTGACAGATCGAGGGTGTATGAAATTTTGATTAGTCAAATAAAGAAGTATTTTTAAGCCAGCAATTGTTCAAAAATAAACTACTCCCTCCGTCCCATTTTATGTGAAGTACTTTGATTCGGCATGGAGTTTAAGAAAGAAAGAAAGACTTTTAAAACTTGTGGTTCAAAATGAATGATAAAAATTTGTGTGGCTGTAAATCATTTCATTAAGGGTAAAATAGACATTTTATAGTCCAATTGTTACTTAATATAGAAATGTGTCATTCTTTTTGGAACTGATTAAAAAGAAAAGTAAGTCACATAAATTGAGACAGGGAGTAATAATTTACACCAAATTTTAAAATGTTTTCAAAAACTTCTCTTTTTTCCATTTAATAAATTTCAAACAGTATGAATTAATGATTAGCCACCTATCCTTATTGTCACTCTAGAAGAGCCGAAATAAAAAGGGTATGATGTAAAAAGAGAATATTGTTGCTTAAACATTATATCATATTTATACTAAACAAATAATTAGAAATTGGAAGGTACATTGATGATGTTTTTTCCCACTCCTAAGTAGAAACGACAAAAGATGTTTTTTCTTTTGCCATGAAAAAACAACCGGACCTATAAAAGGTTAGGGAAAATGCATGTATCTTGAGATTATTTTCCAAAATAAATGCAAATGACTATTTTATTTTAACTGCACTTTCTAGTTCTAGGGATATGTGTGATAGGGTTATTATTGGCAGACAGAAAAAGTAAATAAAAAAAATATATATATATAAATATTGGAAAATTGTCGAGTTCTATGGGCTCAATGAAAACATTGTCCGTGCGATGGCAAACAAAGTGCCAAAACAGAAGAAAGATTAATAATACTCCCGTTTCTGTGTGACATCTATCGAATTTTGAGATTCAATTAAGTCTATGTTTTATTGTATATCTTTTATATATATTGAGTTGTCAATTATTGTAGTTTACAAATATATAAATTTCATTTCAAAAAATTTGAAGATTTCATGAGCAAATTTACAATCAAACTTAAACTGTTTAACTCTCAAAAAATAAAAAGTGTTACATAAATTGGGACAGAGCAATTGTAGGGTCTGTCTTAATTAAGAGATAATTGGGATGTTTATGATGTGTATTATATTATAATTAAATGTCCATTAGTCACTAGTGACATTGGAAGCCACTGAGGTAGCATTCACACAATATGATGATAAGATCATACAGTAATGGGAGACTTTACACTAACAAGGGAATGGAATAAGAATTGCAGCAATATGGATTTAACAATATATAAAATACATAATTGAGAATATGCCACGTCCTTAAATCATTGCTTATGTACTTTTTTTCCCCTTAATCTAGAGCAAGGACAATGATCTTTTAATCTGGTTCAGGTCCCATAGGCTATGTTTGTGAAATTCCACAACTTAAATTGTATAGAATAACAAGCAACGATGACATTTTTACTAGTAAAGATAGTGGAACCAATTATGCACCCTCCTCCAGCATCAACTTTAATTTATACCTATAGCCTTTTCCCCCCTTCTATAATGCAACCTTAATTCTTTATTTTAATTAGCCATTTAGGAGAATATGCATAAACAATATATATATATATATATAAATCTTTAGGACAATTAATTGACGGCAATAGTTTAATTATCGCAAAATATGTACTTTTAGCGACAAGCATTCTTTGTAAATGTCTATAAAACATATAACAATGTTATCAAATGACAATTAACTAATGACGGTAAAGATTTAACACTCTTTGTTAATGTGTAATTATTGTTGATCAAAGTTATTTTTTTGTTGTAGTGCACATATAAAAGAAAAGAATAACAAAAAAAAAGAAAATAAATATCTAGCTACTACAATATAATTTAAGAGGAAACGAGATCTATTAGCTACTTACCTATTGAATAGAATAAATAACAGATCTCTTATGTCTTATGGATAAAAAAAAAAGAGATTTTGTAAAAGGAATATCAAATTAAACAAAAAAAATATGATTGACCTACAAATTCAATACTCTCTATAATCGAGGTGTGGAATCTCCTGATTTTCATGTTATTACTTTTCTTGTATCTTATGTATATTGGTTTCTATCATGCGCGCTAGAAAGAAGAATATAATAAAATAGAAAGAATATAAAAGATTGTTAAAATGCAAAGAATATAATTGAAAGAAGTAGATGTTATAAATAATTAAAAATAAAGATGTTACAAAATCAATCCTTTTAACCCAACCCAATTCCATGGAAAAAAACAGAAAAAACCTAAAATAGAGAAGGAAAGTAATTTTAGACTGTAAAATTCACAAATTAATCCTACATGTCTCTCTCCCCAAAAGCTACATGTATATGTCCTACATAAGGATGGAATTTTAATGCATCCACAATTCTTCTATGGTAATATGCGACCTCTATAATATATATATATTTTTTCTACATGATATTACGTTTATTTAATATTCAAACGACATTGTTGTTGTTGTTGTTGTTGAGTTGTTGCTGTAAAAACCACATGTCTTCAATATTCCACAAATTGTCAGAGAAATTTGCACCGTCCATCCATTGAGTGGTGTTTTGTTGATGATCCATATCTGCAGCAGCAGCGCCTTGGAATTCTAAAGCATGGTGAAAGTAACCTGTGGGGCTGATTAAAGATTCTCCAATAAGTTGACTACTTATACTTTGATTAACTTGAAAATAATCTTGTTGTTGTTGGGGATAATTGTAGCAACAATCAGTGAGGTCTGAAACGAATGAGTTTTCTGATGAAGCTGTTGCCGTGCTTGAATTTGTGTTGTTATTATTGTGATCAATTTGAACCATGTTTGGATTAATTGTCTGAGGATCAATCACTTTGGAGGTAGATGCCCCTGCTGCTGCTGCTTGAATTCTCTCTACTAACCTAGGCATCCATAGATAACGCATCGTATCTTTGAATTGTTTGCTGTTCACGTCACATTTAAGCTGTTTGGCATGTTTTTGTACTCGCGTTCTCCAGTAATTTTTTATCTCGTTGTCAGTTCTTCCTGGCAAATGTTGAGCAATTTTTGACCACCTACACTCATTTAACATTATTCATCAGAATTCCTTACTTATATTACTGAAACCACAATTATAATTAAGTGATGTTTAAAATGAAACATACCGATTGCCCCAACGAGAATGTAGTTCCAGAATCAAAAGTTGTTCTTCAAGAGTTATATTTCCACGTCGTACATCGGGCCGGAGATAATTCAACCATCTTAGTCTACAACTTTTCCCCGTTCGCTTTAGACCTATTTCAATTCCCATACCATAAAAATATATTAGATTTCTCATTTCATGATATCAACTACTTAAATTAGTATCAATTGCCTTCTTCTTCTTTCTTTTTTTTAAATGAAAAAAGATATTTTTGCAGCCAATTATACCTCCTTTATCTTTATTACATTTGGATGAGTGCTTGTTTGCTTTTAAAAGATTACCTAGTACGGAAAGAAATTATAAACCACACACGCACCCACTTGAATTCTTATCTAACACTAACTTTCCAACAAGAAAATCCCATTTTCTTTCACAAGAAAATATCACACAAATAAAACACATAAGTATAAAATGAATTACCAGCACAACGAGCGAGAGAATTCCAACGACCTTCACCATGATGAGCGATATAATTCATGAGGGTGAAGTCTTCTTCAACGGTCCATGGACCTCGTCGGAGGTCCATGTCATCTTCATTCTTATTAGCATCTACACGGCTCAAACCGGCTTTAACATGTTGATGATCCATCAAGATTAATGATTTAACTCGAACCGATCGAAGAAACTGATTGATTGATGATGGAGATAAAAGTATTGATGGATAGATGAAATTAAAGAGAGAGAGAGAATAAAAGGTGTTTTAGAGAAAGAGAAAGATGAGATGAGTTGAGAAGAAAGATGTATGTTTGGATTACTACACGAGAGAAGGTGGTGGGGCTTTTTATAGATATATAGAAAGAGATAGGTTGGAGAAAAATTGTGACAATTTTAAAGAAAAAAAGTGGCATGTGATTGTGAGTGAAGGATGAAGAATTTGAACTATCCCACAAAGCCGCAATATCGAATTAAACTCTAATACTAGCTTCTTTTTTTCAATTCTATAGTTTAATTAATTAAAGTACTAGTAGTAATTAAATAAAGTTTAACTCGTTTGACACTTTTGACTTTGCCTGTACTGAACCACTTACAAATACTTATTCTATTACTTCCCAGAAAACGATACTTTTTTTTTTTGCTTTTTATTTTTATTTTTATTTTTTTACCCTCCCTATGAGCTCCCACCCTTTTTGCTCCCTTGGTGACTTGAACTCGCAACCTTCAGGTTGGAAGTGAGGGGTGTTTACCATCCGAGCAACTCCTTCTCATCCCTAGAAAACGATATGTGTATGTGTTCTCCTATTTTTTCTACTTTAATTTTCTTTTTCTATATTTGTATTTTAGCCCCTCCAAGCAAGTTGTCATAGAATTTTTGACTTTCTATAACTTCACTTATCCATTTTCTGAACTTATTTGTTTTTTGGTAAACCGCGAAAGATTACTATAGACAAATAATATTTACACCTAAGGAGCACTCATAAGAATCATAAACAAATGTAAGTCATCTCTGAGCCTCAGAGTCAGTAAAAAAGAAATAACTAGTTATAAATTTGTTGAATTATACTACTGCACTTCCTAACATTCCGCCTAGAGCCCTTTTAAGAGCTCTATCCATTTTATAATCTCCTTCTTAATTTATGTAACAACTAACTCTGTATTTACATTTATTCCCTTGAACTGTCTCCAATTTCTTGCCTTTCATGTGCGGTAGATCCTTACCCCCACATTTGTTGTTGTCAGTTCCTTTCTGAGTTGTCGTCAATGTCTATCTTTTATCCTTAAACATATCAACACTTTCTTCCTCTTAACTCTGCATCCTGACCATCTTTCCATCTCTTCTTGCACTATTGTTATCCACCTACATTCAAAAAAAATAGGTGCAATTGTGACTCCTCTTTGTTATCATCACATAAACAATGTGTTTGCTTTGTCCACTGAAATTTGTAGTTTGTTCATTCTCTCTTTTGCCAACAGTATATCTTGATTTGCCAACTAGAATATGAATATGTGTCCAGAGAGTAGAATTGAATTCCATACCAGATCAACTTCCTTTCTCTCTCCAAGTTTCCCACCAAGTTAAGATAACTTCTACTTAGTAAATAGGTGCTATTCTGATTTAAACAGTATGTTCAATCTCTATACCAATCACTCTGCATTATTTGATTGAGTTCGGTTTCCTCCAATACCAGCTACACACTGCTGAATGGACATGAGTCCATAAAAGTTCAATAATAAATCAGTGAAAAACGTGGAGGGGTAAAGCAGGATTTTAATGCTAAATTAGAGGATAATTAAAGACCCAAAAGGGTGGTAGTTTCAATAGGTCCTTCTTTAAGGGATCGATTCCTTGGGGGTATTGATGAGTTGGTATTCTATCTACTCAGTAGACTCAAAATCATGAATTATTATTAGGTTTTAATGTTTATTGAGGGGATTCTAGGTCTTAGTTTTTTTGGGTGCAGGCATTTCTTGAAAAAATCAAGTTTAAAGAATTTGGAGTCTAAAATCACCGATGCACACTAGCGAAGGAATCAGTCTCTCACAGGAGCCAGTTGGCGTCTCACTGGTAAATGTTCGGTTGACTGGAGAAAAATTACCTAAGCATCGGCAAATCATTAATGTTGTACAATTCCTGATTGATGTTTTGTCGACCCAAGTGCATATGCTTTTGAAGAAACTGAAGGCTAAAGTAGCGAGGTGATTGGCGCAAAACAATCTTTGTACACCATTCTGCTTGTCCAACACAAGTTGAAGAGCAGAAATTTAAGGGAAAAAATGTATTTGGAGGATAAAGTGTTTTCTTTGGAAGGTTCCAAGGATAGAATATGAATTTGTGTAATTATGTAACTTTATCTTTTTCCCAATTGGGAATAGTCTGGAGAGAAGAATTTTTTGGCTAATGTTTTAGTGATAGAATATAGCTAAGAAGTTTTCTTGCTTGCTAAGGAAAAAAACTCAGCGTTGCAAGCATTTAATGAAAGTGTGTACCATAACTCTCTTTCTCTAATGATTATGGGGACAACTCAATAACAATCCCTTGAAGCGTTTCCATGCTTGAGGGAAGCCTCCCTTTTCCTTTCTACTTGAACCCTAAAATTTCAGTTCTAAACTAACTAGTTGTCTTCTCAAAGGGGAAGATCTCTTGTGATGAAATTTGTGGATAGATTAGCCCAATTAGTGATTGAGTTGGTGACAAGCACAAACACACTATAAGTAGGGCGGATAAACCCCTTACTCAACGAATCTTATAACTGATCTTTTAATTCCTTCAACTCAGTTGTAGCCATACGATAAGGAGGAATAGCGATGGGTTTGGTGCCCGACTCTAAATCAATAGCAAAATCAATATCCCTATCCGGAGGAATACCTGGAAAATAAGGAAACACATCCAAAAACTCTCGAACTACGGACACAAAATTCATGGGAGGTGACTCAACACTAGTATCCCGAATGAAAGCCAAATAGGACAAACACCCTTTATCAATCAATCTCTAAGCTCTAATGAAGGAGATAACTTTGCTAGGGTAAGAACCACTAGCACCCGTCTACTCAACTCTCGGGACACCCGGCATCGCTAAGGTTACAGTCTTAGCATAATAATTAAGAATAACATGATGCGGAGAAAGCCAATCCATACCCAAGATAATATCAAAGTCTGCCATTCCCAAAATGATCAAATCTACCCAAGTATAATACCCGGCCAAATAAATAACACAAGATCAATACACTTGATCCACCACTAAGGATTCACCCACTGGTGTAGCAACGTGAATAGGCAAATGCATGCAATCAAACGTCATATCAAACCCAACAACAAAATAGGTAGACGTAGGTCGATGTCAAACTAGGACAATATATGTGATCACAACATCAAAAGTCTCAGCCTCAAGACTCCCTGGAAAAACATAGCACTGTCCATCTTAGTTTCCTGTAGCCTAAGTAGAACATTTACCCACACACTGCGGAACTGAAACACCCCTACCAGAAGTCCTACCACCTCTACCGGTCTGAACTCTGCCTCGACCCTTGGACGGAGGCGTTGAATCCCTAACTGGTGCGGTTGAATAAGAACGATGAGGTCATGAATGAGTCTATAGAGGACATTGTCGCATCATATGACTTAGATCCCTACAAGTGAAGCAAGATCTAGGCACATATAACTGTTGCTTCGAACCAGATGAACTACCATAGTCACCTTGGCCAGAACCATAAGATCCTCGGGTTAACTGCCCACTCTCAGCTATTGGCATAGAAGCATGAACCATCCCACAGTGCTGGAAGGAACCACTACCTCTATGCAAACCTCTGCCTCCAAATGAAAGCACGAGAAAACTGACTAGAAGAACATGCACTTTTGGGCTCTCCAAACTCCTCTAAAACCATCAACTCCGCCTCCTTGGCGGTGCTCATAATGAACTAGAAGGAAGCCCCCTCTCTGGCTTCTCTTAACACATAAGACCTGGCGGAGAAAGTCAACCCTCTCACAAACCAAAAAACTCTCTCTTCCTCATCTGGGACAATACTCATAGCATGCCTAGAAAACTCACATTAATGGGCCTCATACTTGGTCACAGACAACTCCTTTAGTCAAGATCTCAAATCTCAGTTGACTTTCCTCCCTCACGCTCCAAGGAATGAACCGGTCCTGGAAAGCACTAGAGACTCTGTCGGAGGAGATTCAACTGGTCTAGACCTCAAAAAAGTCTTTCACCACTATCTGGCACGACCAGGAATCTGAAGTGCAACAAATCGGACACTACGAGCATCCACCATACCCACTGCCTCAAGCATCTCATGGCACAAAGTCAAGAACTCATGAGCATCCTCTCTCTTACCACTCTGAAATTGGGGTGGTTTCATCTTCTGAAACCTCTAATAACATTGTTGCTCAACTGTCGTCAGAATAACCTCAGTAGCAATCTGAACACCCACAACCGGTGCCAGAACCATTGGTGGTTGACCCACCTGATCCTAGGGTTTATGCCCCTACCCTCATTTGGGAACTTTGTGGCATACTTGTTGCACCACCATGAGAAAAGTTTTCAACACACCTAACATCCTCAACAAAGTCTCCTAAACAAAGGAGATCCAAACTTGGGAGGAACTTGATCCTCAACAACCTCAACTTGTGGCTCGGGAGAAGACTCTCTAACTTTGCCTCTGGCTGGTGCCTCTCTAAGGGCATGTCGTCTAACCGGTGCTACTCCATGAGCACGAACTCTAGCTCGGACCCTACCTCTACCCCTAGTTGGGGCCTCAACAATAGCCGCTGGCACTGCCTCCCATCTACCACTGGAAACAGAAGCTTTGGTTCTCGGCAAAACAACACGCGGCAACTCAGCACTAGCAAAGAAAGACACGCACGATAAAAAAAGATGAATAAAAGAAAGTTCCCTAACAATCTTTGTAGCCTCTTGAAGATAATTACATACGTATTCGTACCAATCATCAAGACTCTACTTAGACTTGGCTTGTACATACGTGAGACCTATGAACCAGGGAGTCTGATACCATTTGTCACGACCCAAAAATGGACGTGATGTCAGTTGTTGATTCCCACCAAGACAAGTCAACCTCAACCCAACAAAAATGAAAGAAATGTGGAAAAATGGTAAAATAAGAACAAGATAAAGCAAAAAACTTATTTTTCTATTAAAACCTCCAAAATCTGGTTGTCACATGTACAAGCCACTAAATATATAAAGTGCGAAATTGAGAAATAAGTACAAGTCTCAGTCTTTGTTTCTCAAGAGATTAAAGCTTAAAGAAAAGGAAAAGAGGACCCGCCAGGATGACTAACAGCTACCTCTCAAGTCCTTCAACGAGCCTCGACAATTAGGA